GCCTCCTGGTCCCTGCTCCCTGGGCATTGGCCAGGAGGATCAAGGAGCCACCCCCACCATCATCCTGGGCTTTTTTCCCCTTTCCATTTGGCTCTGGTTGGAGGAAGCGGAGGTAGTTTTAGGGAAAAGGAAGTAAAAAATTTTTTAAATTAAAAAAATTTCAGGTCCAAACTATGCAAAATTGAATGTAAAACTGACAACTCCCTCTGTCGTCAGCTTTAATGGTCAGAAGCATGGACGTTAAACAAAGGGGCAGCTGCTGGGTGGGATAAGACCTCATGTCCCAGGCGGCTGCGTGCTTGCTTGGTGGCAGCGGGACCAGGACAATACAATGGGGGTAGGGAGGGGGGACTCTGGGCCTCAGTTTTCTCATCAGTACAAAAAGTAGTGTGCAAATCTAATATCTAAAAATAGTGTTACCTCACGGGCTGTTGTGGAGATGAAATAGATTTGTTGGCTCCATAGGACTGCACACAGGTAAGGAACTTGGAAGGTGCAATGTCTTAATTCCTTTGGGCATAGAAAGTCCAGGATACTCCTGGAGAACTTTGTGCCTCTGTGAGGAGCAGGATTTTAGGCAGATTTGCCCCCATGATGAGTGTTTTCTGAGCCCAGGAAGAGGGTGCAGAGGCTGTGCCTTGCCCATTGAATGCATATTCCTAGAGTGCCCGAGGCCTTCCTTGTCTTCCATAGTCTCCTAGCCCCTTCTGCCAAGCTTACCAAGTTGATCCATGTAGAACGCCCTTTGAACCAGCATCCCCACAACTGACACTCCAGTCTGTTCTGACTGATTTCAAGGTGCTTTAAGGGCTACAGGAACATGGGAGGCAAGCTGTGAGCCAAGGTTTCAGAGCACTACAGACAACCCCTGGGAAAGGGTTGTAGGCAGAGGGTGTCCAGAGGTTCCTGGGACATTAGCTATAGCCAGCATGGGGGAAGGGAGTGCTCACAGGGGAGCAGGCAGCTCCTTCTCAGGCCAGAGTGAGAAAAATATTCTGTCTTAGAGCCCACTCCTGCTCCCAGAGCCACCTTTGGGCGACTCCACAAGAGGCCAGCCACACTCCTCTGACTGAAGGTGAAGTTGGGTGATGCTTGGTGGGACTGGAGGTCAGTCTGGCATCAGCGATAGGGTCAACCTGTAACCAGGATTAAGGGTCAATCTAGGTGTAGGCTGAGGGGTCTGTTTTAGGTCAGGGTTATAGATGAGACTAAGGACTAGATCAGGGCTCAGTTTGGGCCCAGGGTCAGAAGTCCATCTGAGGTAGATGAAAGAACGTTCTCTGATGGAGTCTGACTGGTGAAGATGGTTGCTGACCCTTCTCTGTCCTAGCCCCTCCAAATGAGAACCTGCTCCACAGCCTAGCATTCCTCCTCTCCACTTTCCCTCTCTTTTTTCCTAAGTACTCTTTGGGACTTAAGCAGAGATGGATCCAATTAGGAAATCCAGCAGCTATTGCTGTGGGACTGTGCTGTCCTTGTGGACATTCCCCAGGGGTCCCCTTGGTGGCTGGGCAATAAGGACTCAGAATGACTTTCCCATGCCCATCCCAACCCCCAATGCACACCTGAACAGTAGGGGATGGAGTGCACAAAAGCCATTCCCTGAAGGTAGGAGAGGGGGAGAGGAAGACAATGCATTCAGGGAGGCTTCTGTTGTGGACTCTGGAAGTTGGCGGCTGCTATTACTTGAATTTGTTGGCAATGATTTTCTAAGTATATGTTCCTTCCTATGTATGTGTGTGCTCAGTATTTGCCTGTGCACCTATTTGCATCTCTATAAGGCTGTGTGTCCATCCTTTCAGAGTCGGATGTCTTCACAGGTGGGTTCACCAGGGTCATCTTGCCCATTTCACTACCTCAGGGTCAGCACCATGTCTGAGGGGGGTGGGGAGGGGGTGGCGGTCAGGCTGGAGTCTTAGGGCTCTTCAAAACAACAGGGCCTCACCAATCTCTCCCAGCCCCATTCTCAGTGAGCTTCACCTCTAGATTGAGGATGGGTGGCCTGGCCTTGCCTCCCCTGGGTGCCCAGTCCAGAGATGACCGTCCAGTGAAACGTTCCTGCTGTGAGAGTGTGTCCAGCTCTCTATTTCTGGGTCCACAGTGGTCCTGACAGGGACTTTGCGAGTGCTGAGCCCAAGCTGCCTGGGGTGGAAGTCTGAGTCCTCTGGGAGTCTACAAGCAGGCCCTCTAGGGGCAATCTCCCACTATGAAAGGGGGTTGAGGGAAGGGGGAGCCGGAATTGCGTCCCTCGGAACCTGTAGTACTATAACTGTCCACCAGGTGGGGTTCCAGGGCAGAGAGTGAGAATCGAGATGACCCAGCGCTGGAAGCCAGAGACCAGCTTTAAAATCTGCGCCCAGCCACATCAGCCTCGGAAGCGCTCACTCGGGGAGGGACAGCACATATGCTCGCAACTTAGATGCTCACACACGTTCTCTTCCAGTGAACTCTAAAATAGAACTCGTATTGGGGGCATGTGAGGTTTTCAAAAGGGAGTCTAGTTTCGTTTACACACACACCATCCTAAACTGAAGGTGGGATAGCAAGTCGTCCGCTCTGGGAGTGCGAAAGTGACAGAGACAAGGGGCTAGGGAAACAGGACGCACGGGAGAGGGTGAGCCAGGCACTAGCTAGACGATGGCGGGGTTGGCACGGACAGCTCCATGTGTCATAGACACGCCGGAGGAGAGGCCAAATGACAGACTGATGCAAGGATACACAGACACACACACAACAGAGAGCACACAAACCCTCAGGCACACGACACAGCTCCCCAGACGTCGGTCCGACTCAAGGACACACACGCGCGCGCACACAGGTGCGTCCCGGGGCCACATGCACACCTCCTACAGGCACGCGCGCTGGGCCCTCTGAGGCCGACTAGGAGAAGGTGGCTGCGCTCCCCCGGCGTGTTTATTTACCCATTTGTATCAATGAACGTTTGTATCCGACTCCTCCCGCCTCCGGAGGCCGGGGCCACCGCATTTGTCCCTCGCGCGGGACACTCACCGGGACCAGCGACGGAATTCCTCCGACGCTGCGGGGGGCGGAGGGGACTTCAAAGTTAGAGGGTCTCTAGGTGTCCGAGAGGAGGGGCGGCGGTGTCGGCTGCCCGGACGCGGACGGGTAGAGGGGAACGTCGGGGTCTTGTAGGGTAAGGCGTTTGGGGGTAGGGGAAGACCTTGTCATCGGAGGTTTGGGGGGTCTGCAGACGTGGTATGGAGGGTCTGGGAGTGACAAATGGGAGTACGAAGGAGTCCCTGGAGATAGGAGCCGGCGGGGTTCCGCGGGATAGGAGCTCGGGACCCTGAGCGCAGGTTCAGGGGTTTCTGGCGCCTCTCAGTCGAGGGGCGGTCCGGCCGAGCCCTCAGCTGCTGGGGCGACGGCCCACGCGGGACCGCCTGGGGCGGGAGGAGGGGGCCAGGGACCCGGGAGGGAGGAAAAGAGGGAGGGAAGTAGCCTAGCAGCCAAGCGGGCACCGTGCGAGTGCGCACCGTGTGTGTGCGTGCGTGTGTGTGTGTGTGTGTCTCATCTCGTCCGTCTGTAGGTGCTGCGATCAGCGAGACGCCGGCGAGAAGGAAGACGAGGCGAGAGGTGAACTGAGTTTGATCCTGCGGCGGCTACAAGTGGGT